TTCCGTTGCTGATGATAATGAATTCTGTTGGAGATTTAATTTCTGCTTGTGATAGAAGTAAACTCTTCTTGAGTCGTGGATCATATTATAATTGAGGTGAGAGCATAAAAAGTTGGGCCCATTTAGCAAAAAATGCAAATTTGAGCACATTTGACTTTTGGCAATTTTGTAAAAATGGTCAATTTGGCCAATGCATAACTCTCTCAATTTTGACCCTAGAGAGGTGTTCTTGGACTTTTTAGAAATATTAGGATGTCTATAAGAAACCCTTTTGGTCTCATCTCAATTGAGTCTTCCATGCTCATGTATGAAGCTTTGACCCAAAAGGTGTTTTTGTTGACTTTCCAAAATGACATATAATGTCAAAATTCATATCTTTTTGTGAGTGCATATTCTGAACTTGAGAACTGAAGATTAATTTTAGGGAATTGCATCCTCTTCAAAATGAGATTTGGATGGGTCATTTCTGATAAAGTATGAGAAAGTTATGCTTGGTCAAAGTTGAGTTTACTTTTCCTACAAAACCCTAATTTAGCAACTTTTGGGTTTTGATGAATTGTGAGCAATCCTTGAGTAATCATGATCAACCCTTGATCAAATGATGGATAATACTTCAAAATGAGTATGTTGACCAAAAATCGTGAAGTTTGAGTGTATGTGGGCCACAATTGACTTTTGACCTAGCATAGTTGATTTTAAGGCATTTGAGCAGTTGACTGAGCAAACTTCCTCTGCAAGGCTTGAAACTTGACATGGATGATCTTGAGAACGTGTTAGGACAATGGTGAGCATTTGAGTCCTTTGTGGTCCACACATCTTCTTCAAAACCTGAGGTAACCAAACTGAGTAGATAACCATGCCTCTTGGTGAATTGAGAGTTTTCGGGAACCTTTGAGGCTAACTCTTTAAGCTTGGAAGGTATCCTTACAAAGTTGATTCGGATAGTATTTCTGCGAGCATAGGCCATAACCTGCAACAACGAACAAAGATAAATCCCTAGGTCCTTGAAATGGTTAGTAAAAATGTTATGTTATGATGATATGATTTTATGATGTTATGTTCATGTTAAATAAGTAGAAAACACAAACAAGTCATACAATAGCCTTAGGTTTAAAGGATTTCATGGAATCCATAGGTAAATACTCTTCCCTATTGGAGTTAAGTTGGCTCAACTTGTCCTAAAATAGTAATTGGGGTTCTAGGAATCTCATATCTCGAATCTTTTTCGCAGGCTTTATTTTAGCACGGCAACTGCCTTGCCACCAAAACATCCTGAGAGTCAAATCTCAATAAGCATAGCCTCAAGTATGAACCAACTTTAGATTGCACCAAAGCCGGATATCTCACTACTTTCTAATGGCCAAGATGGGTCAATTAAGGTTCTAAAAGTAAGTTAGTGTTAACGACACCATGCGGAAGCCTAATGTTATCCTCGATTGACTCAAGGAACATCAGTATAAACCAAAGTGTCACACTAATTGTAGCCATCATGTTAACCATTGCGTCGTATAGTCTTTATGATTTATTTCTACTTACCTAAGGAATCCCTAGATTCGGGTGTAGGATCTTACAAGCAATAATACCCCAGCATGAACCCTTAAGGTAAAGCAAACAATTCAAGCAAGTAAAAGTGATCTAAACTCTAAGGTAACCCCTCTTTTTTAAGTAGTTTCCCAAGTTCTGTAATATGGTGGGAGAAATGACTTTTTGGTGTTATCCAAATGTGTGGATAGCAAGTGTCGCTATCGACTTTTCTTTTATCCAATATTTAGGAAAGGTGAAAAGAACAGGAAAGACCTTTGATAGATTTTGAGTTTGGGGGGTAAGTTATGAAAAAAGGAAGGTGTTAGCACCCTTTTCATCCGTAATTATCTATGGGCTCTTAATTTCTTAGCTCACTTTAGAAAACTTACTATGTGTGTGTGTGATTTGTTTGGAGATATTTTGAAATACCAATATAAGGCTAACTTGTTAATGATTCTTGTATCAGTCATCAAGAATGTATACAAAGTGTTTTTCTGAAAATATTTGTTTGGAAGTGATGTGTAAAATGTATTATTTGTGAGAAAATTTATGAGCAAGCAATTAGGAGTTCTTACCCACTAAAGTCTTTCTTATTATTTTCATTCTCCTTTGGAGATAGTGCTATCCATACCATTAGTTGGTAGGTAGCCCTATCCATTGGATGTGAAGGACAGACATAAGGTCATCGTATGGTCATAGAAAGCAACATGTAAGGATACTTTAGCATTTGTATCATAGGGATTATCATCATTTTGTAGGAAATTTGGAGGGTCATCAAGGGACTGTGATCTTATTCTAAGGGACTATGATGATTTGATCGAGGGTCTTTTTCTAAAGTATCCCCACTTTCAAGGGACATGACCAATATTCGTAAGGCAACAAGAGAGATTACCCTATAGGTGAAGTGTGCAAAGTGTTTGTTTTCAGCTATTTATCTTGGGAATTAGGGTTTTCTAGATTACTTTTAGCCTTATCATACAAATCCTAGTTACTAGAAGTTAAATATGTACAGAAAATTAAAGTGCGGAATATAAAAACCTAAGGTATTACATGGCTTTGGGAGAGATACATAGACATAAAAATTTGCGGGAAAGTAAACCTATGATATTACATCCTCAGAGCAAATACATAATAAGAAAAAATGTGGGAATGTAAATCTAAGCTATTACGTTGATAGTGCGACCTATACAATTGTTCTATGAAATTAAATAGAAAAAGATGAGAAACAAAATGTTAAAAAATGTTAAAATGTTTTTTTTATTTTTTGTAGAAAATAATTTAAGTGATAATAGTAGTAATTAAAACCTAGATTCTAATTTATTTTAATATTAAGAAAACGTTAATTAATTAATTAATCAGTAAATAAAAATATATGAAAAATTTTAATTACTAATTAAAAACCCTAACCCTAATTTGTTAAAGTGTTGAAAAAAATTAGGTTAGTTAATGGTTAATTAAAAAAGGAATTAATTAAGAAAAAGAATGAAAATTAGGTTAGAAAAATAAGAAAAAACCAATTGCATGGGGTGGGTGTTGAACCCACGCCCCTGGCCTCACAGGATGCTCCCTTTACCACTAGGTCATACACTTGTTTATGATGTTGAATGAGAAAGAATCAATATATGATGAACCTGCGCGTTAGTTTGAAAAAAAACAAAATAATTTTGTCAAAAGCTGGTATCAAAATCACGCCTTTATGGTTAACAGTTACGCTTCTCACCATCTGCGCCACGCCACGTTTATGTTATAGAATACAAACAAATAAATATTTTATAAAACACTAGATCAGAGATGCGCCAGAGCCCTAGTTCTGGTCGTCTTCTCCGATGGATCCAAATTTCAACCTGCAAAAATAGAAAGATTTAAAGATCAAGAGAGGTCATATCCCCCTAATTTAGACCTCCTGAATCCAATGGTGGTATTAGTTTGACCTGAAAACGTTTGTAATGCAAGATATAAAAAAAATAGAATTTTATGCCATAGCAATGACATCTCGTATTCCCTGCGTCAAAGCTTACAAATGATGGATCAAATCAGTTCCAAATATCATCATGGACATATATGTATGCATCAAATCATCTAACAATACGCATATTAAAAATTTGAAGTTCAAGAATTTTACCAAACCGGCGATGTTGAGGTATGTTGTTCTAGCGTGCTTCAAGCTTCAAGGATGGTTGGGATGAACTCCTGGGATCTTCAGGAGGCTAGTGTGATGCTTGGAATGGATTGAAAGTGAATGGAAATAAGGGATTCTATTTACCCTAGTTTCTTGAAATTTGAGATTTTTTTAGGGTTCTTCTTGAGGCAATTTTTTGTGTTCTTAGCTTGGTCTGATAGTTGTGTATTTATAGAGAGAACATTAGGTCAACAAACATGGAATAAATCTTTTGTGTTTCATGACCAAATATTTGATTTGCATTTTGCATGAAATATTTATTTTTTAGGCCAATCTCATGCCAATCATATCTACACATTTTTTCCAAGTTGTCATGAGCTTTTTGGGTTTATGATTTGATTCAAAAATATATCCACACGCTTTATATCTTTTATTTGGTATTTTATTTGATTTATTTTACTTTTAATTGAACAAAATCAAAATAAAAGAAATAAAAATCACAAAACTATATGAATAGATTTAGAGGTCTAATATGAGGTCATGAACACGTTTGGACCCGAAAACTTAGGCCCATTAGCCCAAAAATTCATGTTTGCTCAATTTGAACATCACGCATTTTTTCAAATTTGCTCAATTTGCACAACTCATAACTCTCTCAATTTTTGTCATATGAAGGTGATTTTGGACTTTTTGGAAACCTCAAGATGTCTCCTACAACTCTCATGCTGGTCAGTTTTTCATTTGAAGTTTTAATATTGACGTTAATTGCTTTGACAAAAATGTCTTTTTGTTGACTTTTAAAATGACCTGTAATGTTTTGGCCCATATCTCTCAAATGAAGTGTTTTTGGCCTTGAGCTTAGAGAGACGAAATTGTAGATAATTGAATTTCCTTCAATATGGGCTTTGGTTGAGGAATTTCTGATGAAATATGTGAATGTCGTGTTTGGTTAAAGTTTAGTTGACTTCTCCTAAAGAAAACCCTAATTTAGTAACTTTTGACTTTTGATGAATCTTGAGTTTTCTTAATGAATGATGATCAAACCTTGATCAAATGATGAATACGAGTTCAAAATCTTGATGTTGATCAAAAATCTTGAAGTTTGATTGTAGATTGGTCAAAGTTGACTTTTTGTATAGTACAATTGATTTTCAATCATCTGGCTAATTGATTGAGAAAACTTGTGATGTAATGCTTGAAACTTGGCATGAGGATACTTTGAGATATATGAGATACCATGTAGTCCACTTGAGGCATTAGAAGTCAAATTTCCCTTGAGAGAAACAAAACCTTAGTTATAAGTGATTTTCTTAGGAGGAGAGTTTGTCTAGTCAACCCTTGAGTAATTGAGGCATTCATGATTATGAGGAGGTATCTTGAATCAACTTGTCTCACAGATGGGAGGGAAAATTTTAGGATACAACACAATGCTTATTACTTGAGATACAATTTTAAAGGGGGGATTACAAGAAAAGAGGATAAAAAATTACAAATTTTTGGTACAGTTGACTTTTGGTTAACTTTTGAGCATCAACTAGATTTTGACTCCTGAATTTTCCTAAACCTATTCTACAATCATTTGATCGAAAGAAAACATCATTTTCTTGAAAAATTGATTATTTCATGAATATGTTTCATGAGACAATTTCCAACATTTTCCATCTTTCAAGCTCTACTTTCATGGTTGTTTCTCCTTCCTCCTTTGGTGCTTCAAGCCTATTCTTCCACCACTTTATTCACCTTGCTACAAGGAAGAAGACACATCAAATTAATCATCGATATCATGGATCAAAACCATTCCAAAGCTAGGGAAAATTCATGAAAAATTCGGTATTAACACTTTGAAAAAATGCTGCATTATAACCTTTATTTTTTTAATATTTCCCAACTTTGATTCAAGCCATTGTATGCACAAAATATCCGATTTTCGATTTGTAAGTTTGCACCATCCAAAAGTGATTATTTACAACACAAAATCAATTCCCAAAAGCAATTAAGGTCATGGGTTGATCCACCAAAAAAATCCAATTCCAAAACCATAAAAAACCAAGACAAATCAACCTAGTAAATTCAAGCCAATTTCAAGTTCTAACCAAGTGACCATTTACCTTCCCCCCTTCCCTAACTTGGTACTTTTGCAAAAATCAAACATGAATAGTCTCTAACTACCCTTAACTACATATTGTTCCACAAGCCATCCATTTACCTAATTACCCCTAACTTCTCTAACTACCAAACTAACACAATTTCTAACTTCTAATTTTCAACCAAATTCCATTTAATCTCAAGTGTTCTTAAAAGTTGATCCAAGGGTTATAATTAGTGATCCACAACTAGAGCTTAGATTAATTTTCAACCATTTATAAATGATTATTTGGATCATAATCCAAACGTCCATAGTAAACCACAAAAACTTTATAAACATATCATTTTTCACAATTTGGGGGTTCCACTTTGAACCATTTCTACCATTTTCTCAATTCTCACCATTCTCTCTATTTCTCCCATCTATAACATTCACTCAAATTTCACATTCATCACCATGTTTAGAACTTCACATTGAAGTTCTAAATGGGTGGAACTTAGCCTCAAGCAATTTTCATCAAGTCAACAATCATTAAGTTTCATCAATTTGCAACAATTATCAAGTTTCATAATTTGCAAAAATCATCAAGTTGCAACCATCATCAAGAAATAATCCAATTTTCCTCATCAGGAATTCATAAAATTCTACATTCAACCATCATCATCAATCTTAGAAGTTAATGGAAGTATAAAAGTTTACCTCTTGAAGTCTTCCAGATTTTGCTTCGACATTTCGCGTGCAATTTCTAACCGGAGTAAATCTCTGCTTCGTCGATAATCTTTCATCACTTTTCTTCCATGCCTTTCATCATGAATATCTCATGTTGCTTGTGGTTTAATTTATGTCATTGTTTTAGAATAGCTTAATTAGAAAAAGCACTTAATTTAAGCACTTAATACTCCCTTTTTCTCCATTTTTTACGTTAAATTTGAGTTTGGGGAGGGGAAAGGTTAGGTGGAATGGTCCAGTCTGGTCCAAACCCGACCGATCGGTCCGATTCAGTGGGGGGTTTCCAGTTTTTTATTTTATTTCTTTTCATTTTCCTTTTTTTAATTGCAACCTATTTAGTGCAGTTTCCAATTTGCACCCCCTGGTTTTACTTTTCCTGCACTAAAGTAATTAAGTCAATGTGCTTATTTTAATTTGTTTTACTGCAGTTCATTAACACATTCTTTATTGTATCTTCTGCTCCATTAATACATATGTACTAACACACATACATTTTAACTACATGATACATACCATTTTGATTTTTTTAGATAATTTCTTAGGATACTTTCTCTAGAATAATTTTAGACTAATATTTTTGCATTTCAATTTTAGATAATAATTTTAGATATATCTATTTTTTTTTTAATTCGACACGGTTTTATTATTTTCTAAATTCTTTTACATATTATTCATCATATTTTGCATTCACTTGGACCTATATTTTTGCTTTTAGTTGTTTATATGGATGAATGGATGTAATAATTGTAGGGACTTATTTATCTCATGGTTTAGGGTTCCATCTCCCCATTGTGGGTTTTATGTTCCCTCTTCTCTTGAAAATATAATAGTGTAGTGTGCTTCATTCTCCTCAGTGGGTCAAAATACTCCCACATCCCATGGACATGTAATAGTATAGGACTTTACTTTTCTTTATCGCTTTCCTATTACAGGTGCGATATGGTGGCAGAACTGACAGTTTAATACTGGTTTGAGTTTTGCGTTTTTTGTTCGCTGGGAATTATCTTTCAGTTGCAACTCGCTGAGGATAACCCAGTTAGACTCTTGTGGGGATAACCTCTGAATTTGGCTGAGGAGACTTATTTGTGCTTCGCAGGGGATAAGCTTCCAGAGTCTACTGAGGAAGATGATTCAACTCCACTGGGGAAGCTTTTTTAGACTGCGCTGGGGAAATGACTCCACTGTGGTACATTGTATTCCGCCGGGGAACATTCTTATATTCTGTTGAGGAATTTTAAGACCGTCGGGGATGCTCTTACGCTTGCTGGAGAATATCTTTATACTCCGCTGGGGAATACTAAGATCTTCTGGGGATACCAAGCCTTTTCAGGGCTGACGGTAGACTAACTCTGCTTGGGGGAGAGTATGGCTGATTCGTTCATGGTTGCGAGTCTCAGTGGGGGAGAGCTACCATTACTGTTTTACTCTGCGGAGAGTGAAAGTATCTTAGCCATATTCTTCAGCTGAATATATACCTTGGTACCTGGTGGACAGAGCAACTTGTATAGTTCGGACAATTCTTATTTGCCCCTATTTTTTACGAGAGAAGGTGCCTGCGGAGGCCCTATGGATCGAGTATTATCCCCACCTATGAGGTGCTTGGTATCTTTCGGTCAAAATGACAAGTCTTCTTCTGGTAGGCCAGTGACGAGATGACGAGACATAGTCGTACGCTTTGATCCCTAATTTTTGCCTGGACCGCCCTTTTGGGTTTTCAGTCCATCGGGATACCCTTTTTTACCCAAGCCGCCTTTTCAGGTTTTCGACTTGCCGGGTGTACAGATTTTTTCCATTTTTATCTCTAATTTTTGCCCGAACCCTTTTGGTTCGCCGGGAAGCCCTTATTTTTTCCTAGGCCAGTCAACCTAGCGGGTTTTTGATTATGCGTAGTACTTTTTTGACTATGTCCACGCTCTCAGGATGTAGGGAGGTGTCACTGTCGGTAGTGTTGTGTTGCCATACTACCAGAAGATGTTCGTTTGATCATACAAGATTTGTTGTTGGAATTCATGTCCAATGCCCCAATTGATTCAGATGGAGATCTGCCCCTGGCTATTTGGCATCTTTGAGAGACTCCTTGAATCTTGACTTGACTTCCCCAGATGATAGACAATGCTCATGTCGTGCCCCTTGGTTGGAAGTGTTTTTTCCACTTGAGGTGACCCTTTTTATTGAAAAGGTTTTTTTTTGTTCACTAGATATTCGTCGTGCGAATTTCTCTGTTGTTGAACAAATAGTCATATGCAAACAATGTTATTTTAAGAATGCAAAGCTTATGTCTGTCTTGAAGTTTTTAAAAATGCATTTTTCAGTAAAAAGGCAAATTTTGTAAAATGTGATGTCAACTCAGGATTTACAGCAAGCCCTACAGGAGTCAGGATACCTTTTGTAACAGTATGCTTTTGAACTAACTCATGCTTCAACTAGGACTTTTTAAGGGTTATAACGTGGTCTGGTTCACGGTTTAAGAAACAAAGGATAAAGGCTCAAATTTTATTTATACCCACCCGCTCTTCGTGATGTTCTTCGATCCTAAACTCAGCTAACTGTGCATTTAGATCCTGTTTGAGTCTTTGCTCTGATATTCCAGTGATGATTCGGATACTGAAAGTTTATTTTGAACAGGCAGTCATTTTGTTGAGAGTTTGCAGGACCTCTTTCCTTTTGATTTTATTATCCCTGTCTTTTGCCTGAACTGTTTCTTTTTGTGACTACAGTCAGCGGGATGCCCCAGTTTTTTGTAAGTCTCCTTCATAGGTTTTAACTTAGTGGGCTTTTATTTCGAAAGGTAATGACTGTTTGTCCTTACGATTATACGGAACCATCACCGTCTTTTGTTTCGGAAGGACTTCTTTGATGCCATTCATTGTGCACCTGGATCAACTGAGAGAACTACCCTGCCCCAGGTTATAATTAAGGGTTTTAATTTGTGAAAAGAAAAATTCCAACTTCTTTGGCTCAAAGGGGTTGACTAGGGATTATCTTCCTTATAACTCCACTATTTAGGATTTAAAACAATGCCTGTACATCATCAGCAGGGTCTGTTCAAAAGCATACTGTAAAGATCGTGGTATCGTCTTCGTCATCCTCCCTCAAAAGGCTTAGAATTTTTTAATCGAGAGTTGATCATCACAAAAAATGAAAGCAATTTGAATATAGTGAATACGAATGGATTGATTCAAAATAGACATATGCAATGCATTGATAAAGTAACAAAGTTTGACATGAATAAATGTTCGAACAATCAAAAGAAAATTACAACTTGAAAATTCTAATGAGAAAAAAGTTTTCTCGTCTCAGTACTCGTCACTTCAAATGGTGAACCTTGGCGGGATGGTAGAAGAACTCAGCCTGACCATCTTGTGTGAATTCCAATGCTCCTTCATCAATCAGGTTTTGAATTTTGTACTTCAACTTCCAACAGTCATCAGTATCGTTCCCCGGGCTGTTGGAGTGATATGCACACCTTGCATCAAGATTGCAGTTGGGTGAAGAAGTCTTAGGATTCAGATGAGGTCCTACCAACGTCACCAGATTCAATCTCAACAGGTGTTGCAAAGCTTGGGACAGCGGCATGTTGAGCTTGGTAAATGGCCTCTGATTAACCCGTTGTTTATGGCAAGGTTGTTGTTGGACCCGTGAGGTAGTAGCAACTTGGAGAGGTCCATTCTTCACCATACCAAACTCTTGTCTTCTTGGAGGCTGATTAATGATTTGATCCCTAGCCTTGACCGTTT